TCCGAAAAAGGACTAGGGGGCAGATATCTCGTCAACTGTGCCAATCATGTGCACAGACATCACGTTCTTCAAGGCCTCGACATCGCCGTCGCTGACCGACCGTGTCTCTCTTCCATGCTTATCCAACCATAACCTCTAAGCGCCAGCGATCTGCCAGCACGCCGTCCAACCGTGGCAGTATGAACAAGATTACTTGTTCGACAGCGAACCTTAGTGGTCGATGCCCCCGCATACCATATCAAGGTCCGCCGTTGTTTACCGTCAGGTTCCTGTCACATGCGATACGCGATTCATGTGCAGTGAAGGCCCTCTGATGCACCCCCTGACCTGCTGCCCGATTAGTCCATATACTGGGGGGCAATGGCATGACGAACGCTACATCCTTGCGATGATCTGAACGAAAAGGGTCCAATAATCCACCCTCAATCGGATGTCATCCCCAACTTGCCTTCCAAGCCGCCCATTCGGCACACTCACCTGAAGGTGCCCTACCACCATGGCGGGCCATAGCGAGCCATCGCGTACTCTCATTCGCGGGACACACGCGTCACCTCATTAATCGAGCCTAGGCCGTTGTCCAACGGCACGACAGAGGGGGGGCCGAGCAAAATGAAGCATATCGAAAGCGCAATTGAGGATCTGATCGCGCCGTTATCGCCTCAGCCCTTCGGCCGACAGCCGGCCCTGCAGTTGCTCGCGATGGTTGCCGTCACTAGTTCCCCCAATGGCGTTGACATGTCTCGGCACTGGTCCTTGTCCCATTGTCTCTTATATCTAAGCTCCCACCATGCCGGCACCTTTGCGACAATGATTCTAGCCCGGCACCAGTCGCGGTCGTCTTGTCGTCACTCTCTGAACATCAGCTCTCTATCGTGAGCGTCCTGTTCTTGTTTTCTTCTTTCCCAAGCAACACATTCATTTTATATCTTTTTCTTCGGGCTGACCATGACGCGCTTCGCCCTTTCATGGCTTTTGGCCGCCGTTCTCCTCGTCTCCAGTAGTCTAGTCAGAGCCGAGGACTGCCAGTGTTCGCCGGAGACCCAAAGGGTTACTTATATCGTGGTTGAGATGCCCGATCCCCAATCGACTCAGTCTTCCTTGTTGTCTACTCCCACGCCTGTTTTCTCCAAGCTTAATGTCAAGCCCACGGCGATTGCGCATACTGTGCCGACGAAGCCTACCGATTTCTCTACTGAGGGTCCTTTTATCGAGCCTCCCAAGCCCGACACTCACCCTGACAACACAACGCACACTTTTGGCCCCTGCTCGGCTCCAGGCATCGACCGCAGCGACCCTATCAACATTGTGCCTGCGCAGAATGTTTCGCTCTACTATTCGTCCTCGGATGACGAGGAGCCGGGCTCCATCGGCATGAACCTGACCATGAACAACCCTACTGTCGTTCTGGAACACATTGGTTCTATCAGCAACGTCATCTGCAACAACCTTACAGTGACGGTTTTGTTTGAGAATCTCGAAGGGTTCAACGAGGCTGTTAAGGACTGGAGCGACGACGAGGCATTTGTCCTCATCACCAACCACATGGGTAACTGCAACGCAGCCCTTGAGCGCGGCTTCTTCCTCGCGTCCGGCGTGTCATCCAATGCTGAAAAGCTGGCTGTCACTGTTAAGGCATCCAGGAAGGAACTTGCCAGCATCGCAGGTCAGTGAAGTGCTTTCATGTCTCGTGACATGCTGCTGACGCCTTTTCAGAATCTTGCGAGATGGCCTTCACATCTCTCCCTGCCGCATCTCTAACCCGACGTCTCGTTCTGGACCCCAGCATCTCGCTTAGCTTCGCAGAGGGTCTGCCTGAGAACACTGTGCTCTTCTCTGACGGTCAGTACATTGACGTCACTGCCGAAGAGGCCTGGTTCCAGTCCACCATCACGTTCTCGGGATACCTCAAGTACAACTTCTGGAGATTCCGCCTTGAGCACCTTTACTTTGATCTTGATGCCAACTTTGCTTCCTCCGCCGCTGTCTCGGCCGAAATCAGAGCATCCTTCGCCGAGACCATCCGCTACTCACCGGATGTTCTAGCGTGGTCTCTCGTCGAGGTTCCCGGCATCGTCTCTCTCGGCCCAGGTATTGCATTTGGCCTCGCTCTTGACGTTGAGGCCACTGCGGCCGTCGGTCTTCATGCTGGTGTCGACGTCAACATTCCCGCCGGCAACGTGCATGTCGACCTTCTCGACGGCTCCAAGTCCGGCACTTCTGGCTGGGAGCCTCAATACAACAGCTACGCCAACATCTCCCAGGCTGCCGATGTGCGCCTCGATGTTGGTGCCGATGTCACCGTCCAGCTGGCCTTCAAGCTTCTCGGTGGCCTCGTCGACCTGTCCAGCGGCGTCACCGCTTCGCCTGGCATTGCCAATAAGTTCAAGCTGCGCGGTGAACAGGATGCCTGGGTCGGAGGCACAGGTGCGCAGATTGACGCGGGCTTTGAGGTTCCCAAGGACGGTCTCGTATGCGCCGAGACGAACGGTGTTGAGTTTGCGTCGGACTTTTACTTCAACGTTTCGGCGTTCGCGACCAAGTTCTGGCAGCGGGATCTGTACAACGTCAGGGTGCCATTGTGGGATGTTTGCTACAGCTTCTGATAAGATGGAGGCCATGAGATGAGGTATTCTAGTTCTTAATGTAATGTTTATTCCGTCATCGTGATTTTGCAAGAGGTGCGTGCTGCGCGTGCCTTGATCGCTGGCCGACTTGACAGCGTCTGCCGATGAGTGGCCCGGAGAGTCAAGTCCGGCCCGGCTCCAGGGCTGTGGGGCCGGCCCCGCCGAGACTGAGGAACTGGGCCGCGAGCCCGCTGCCTGTGCCCAGACGTCAATGACGGAGTCTGACGTGAACTGGGGAGATCATGATCGCGCGAATACAAGCAGGCTCCTGGAATATTGCGTAGACATTTAACAGCTCCTGCTGCTGTGAGAAAGCCATCGTCAAGGTTCATCCGAACATCCTCTCCCAGAGACTATCAAACAGTACCACGGCCTTTCATTCAGCCGGCCACTTTTGCATTCCGCCTTTTTCCATCCAAAGACACTCATCATGTCGTCCACAGACCGTATCTTTCAGCTTAGCGGCACATGCAACAATTACGATTGGGGCAAAAAGGGAAGAGACTCCCTCGCCGCCCGCCTCTGTGCCAACACGCCGAATACAGATTTTGAGATTGACGGTGATCAACACTACTCAGAGATGTGGTTCGGCGACTACCCAGACTTTCCTGCCCGTGTTCTATCCACAGGAGAGCTTTTGACAGATGTTCTCCAAAAAAGTAAGAAGACTTTATTGGGCGATAAGGTCAACAACGAACTAAACAGCCAACTGCCCTACCTCCCCAAAGTAAGACTTCCCTCTGCTCCGTCCAAGGCAAACTCGTCCTGACATCTAAAGATTCTCTCTATCAACAAAGCCCTTCCCCTACAGATGCATCCAAACAAGGAGCTGGCGGCCAAGCTCCACAAAGAAGACCCCCAAAAGTTCACCGACCCCAATCACAAGCCCGAGATCGCCATCGCACTATCTGATTTTGAGGTCTTCGCCGGCTGGAAGCCGACCAAGCTGATTGCCCCGCTCTTCAACATCCCAGCCCTCCGCGCCTTCATCCCCAACGCCACCTCTCCGTGGACGCAGTCCACTCTGCGTGAAGCTACGCGCGCGATTCTCCTCGCGAACGACGACAAGGTCGTTGCGGCACAAGACGCCCTGGCGCAGCTCTCACGCGACGACCTCGGCGAGAACAAGTACATCCTCGATCTGTTGCCCCGGCTAAAGCGGGACTTTGGCGCGCAGGATCCCGGCATCCTCGTGGCGGTCGTCTGCATGAATTTTATGAAGCTCAAGGCCGGCGAGGCGTTGTTCATCCCGGCCGACGGCATCCATGCTTACCTCTCCGGCGACATTGTGGAGTGCATGGCACGGAGCAACAATGTGCTCAACACGGGTTTCTGTCCCAAGGGCGATCGGGACAACATCGATTTGTTCAGCGATGCGCTGACGTTCGCTGTGCACCGCCCGTCGGATGTAGTTCTTCCAGCGAAGCGAAGCGAGCGCGGCACAAATCGCAAGACGCTCCTTTACGGGCCCCCGCTCAGGGAATTTGACATGCTCTTGACGAACCTGCAGGAAGCCGACGAGGAGGTCATTTCAAAGGGCCAGGGACCTGGCGTTGCGATTGTTACCAAGGGCGAGGGCCTCCTCGAGGGCGATGGCCAGAGGTTTGATGTGAAGGAAGGGTTTATCTTTTTCATTGCGCCGGAAGTTGAGGTGAAATGGCAAAGCAAAGGGGGGTTGCAAGTGTTCACGACGGTCGTGTAACGTGTAAGCATTATTCCGATTACAGTCGGGGGCTTCCAAAATACTTGCTATGCAATAGCGATAGTTTGCTCAAGCCAGAGCCATTCTGAAAGGGATTGCTATTTTAGGCTTACACTGCACAAGATGCAGCGTCACATAATGCAGAATGCTACCCAAACGGGATGATTGAACCTCAGAACAAGGATGTGTGATTCAAGGTCGTGGTGGACACTCGCTGTGCCGCAGCCAGCTGTGGCCCTAACAGGATGAAGGATTCGAATGGTGGTCAGAGCCTAAAGTGATTCATGCCCCAGTTACGTCAATCTCAGTCGCGATGGCCATTCTTGGTCCACGTCCCCTGTGCGATCGCCCGCAGCAAAGGGTAGATCTTCGCCCGAGGTATTGTATTCAAGGGATGTGGGGTGCCATATGACGTCTTGTTAGCCATCCTTGGCTAAGAAAACATGAGTAATTGGGATCGTGCCGGAAGCCGGTCACACTGTATTTTGCAGGCAAATGGTCAGATATTCCAGTCATCGCGCGGGTGTGGCACAGCCGCCGATTCAAGGCCTAAGTACTATTGCATCCTCTCTATAATTATGACAATGCTTCATTGCTCACCCGCTGGTCAAAAGATTGGTTCGACTGTGACATCTTCCACGGCTGTTATTACATTTACACCACGAATTACCAAGATGCTGCAAATATCGACAATTCTACTGGCTATTGCACCATTGTCTGCCCTCGCACAGTGGTGGGTTCTCATATCAAATCACCATTGGCAAGTAGCTAATCAGGTATTCAGGGACACCAACACCAACTTCACATTCACACTCTACCCTTCTGATGCGGGAGACAGCTGCGAAGGAGGCGGGCAGGGGGGCATCACCCTGACCACCGAGACGATACCCCGACACGAGACCTGCATTGACGTCGAAGAGATATTCGGAGGTAATCGGCGGATGGGGTTCATCAACGACACGGTTTCTGAACGGATCACCTACGGCAACGGCGTTGATGTTGACAGGCTGCCACCGCCGGGCATTGAGTGGTCCATCACGAGCGACTCAATTGACTACGACCCAGCTAAGAATTGGTCCGTCATTTGGTTCGAGCAGCGCAACCAGTCCTCCGACGGAAAGTCTGAAGAAGGCAAGGACGGTCGCTGGGTTCTCGACACCTATGGTGCGAACAACGATTGCCAGAGAGACGACGTTGAAGAATTTCCGTGGTACGAGACCAGTTGCCAGACTGGCGAGACTGGCCGGTGCGAGTCCGTTCCCCACTCCATCAAGAGCATCAAGCTGCGCCCATACTTCAAGTACGACTTTGGCGACTGCCAGACCTGGGCTAAGTATGGCGCTGCTGCGACGTTGGTGCCCCGGGTGTCTGCCGCTATTGTCATGACTATGGCGTTCTTCTTGTTCCTGTAGAATCCCTTATCTACAGATGGTGTGTCACACATTGTGGATGTTGGAAATGAAGTTCAATAGTTCTGCACTGCAAGCGACGGCGTCTAATGATGCGACTTATGTTAGTTGCTTTAATATAAGGCGGAGTGGTCTTTCACAAAAACGATTACTACCAAAATTGAACTTCATGCCGCAAGAATCTCTCGTTTGACTAGTCTAACATAGTTCAAGTTGCGTCAAGAAATCAAGTCGTCAGCACTACTTGAAGGATCTCATCACTTTAAACACTTGCGGGTCGCCAGGTGTCAGGCGAGCCTGCGGAGTCGCCAAGCAGGGGGCTGCCCAGGGGCTTAGGGCTACGAGAAACGTATACATATAGGCTGCGGAGGGCCCTCCAAGCTGCGGAGGGCCAGAATTCAAATGTATTCCGACCCATTACCTATCTTCTATTTGCCTGCAGACCACGTTTGGAAGACCTCTTCACTCTGCTCTAACAATGCTCTGACACCGGGCCTTGCAATGGTGTGGCATGTACGAAATTCGGAGATAGTAGGTAGGGATGGAAGAGAGGTTGACCCCTACGTGATGCAGGCTATCTTCAATATAAATACGACCAGAGGACACCTCATAAGGCGTATGAAGGTCCTGGTCAAACATGTGCGATACGCTGGATGCTACCTCTGATTACTTTGGCCATCGCCAAGTGCGTTTTCAAGCTGTGGTTCAGGACCTAGGCCAAGACCACACTTATCCTGTTGGCACCCATCCTCGTGATGCTAAGCTGTTTCGCTTTCTCTCGCCGATACTACGAACCGTAATTACCATGATGGGAGGTTTTGAGGCTTGTTGAAGAGGAATGATGCAAATTGTATTTCCATTATAAATTCATATCCCACCACATCTTCCCGTAGTCGTCCCCCGCACTCCACGCTGAACTAGACTGTAGTATCGTGTCGACGATCAGCCAACGACCCCAGTTCCAGCCTGACTCTCGATCAAATCACACACACAACTAGCAGCATCGACATCATAACTGTAAGGCGGCGCCACAAAGCTGCCCACTTGCGTAATGTCAATGTCCGAGTTGACGTAGACATTGTTCCGCTCGACGGCCCAGCCCTCGAGCTTCGCGTCGAGGTCCGTGACGATGGCACGGCGCGTGTTCTCAAAGTACGTCGACTCGACGAGGACTTGCGCGTTCTCGCGCGAGTTGACGCCCGACGTCGGGTTGTCGAGGTAGCACGAGCTGTAGATGTGGCCGGTGCCGAAGCGGATGGAAGGCAGGCGCGAGTTGACGTTGATGAAGCTGTTGTGGTGGTATGTCACATGCATTGTGCCAGCGTCCTGCTTTGTGTTGCTGCTCGAGTGGCCGATGAGGGAGCCCTTCCACTGATCTGCGGTCAGATACATTCAGGCACATGTAGGCAAAGGAGAACTTACGTGGTCGTGGAACTTGGTCCACGAGACGGTGACCCAGTCCGAGGCACGCTTAATGTCGAGCAGACCATCGTAAAAGTCCTTGTTGCCGACGATGCCCGCGTTTGAGAGATCGAGATGGTCGATCCAGATGTTGGTGCTGCGCTCAGCCTCAACAAGGTCGCCGCCCCGGGGCGCCATGCTGAGATGAAGGTTGCGAAGGATGATGTTATCGACCTTGTACAACCGCAGGCCACCTCCAGTCAAGCCGGATTTGGCACCGAGGCCGAGAACCGAGGTGTTGTTCTCTACACGGAGGATGCCGCAGCCATCGATGATTCCACTGACGTGAATAACGCCGCTGTTCTTCAGAGCCGCCGTGAACTGGCTGCATGTGGTCACAACAACAGGCGGGGCATTGCCTCCGCCAGTGGTGGCAGCGCCGTAGCCGACAAGCTCATCGACAGCAGCGTTTCCACACTGGGCCACTGCAGTGCCGACGGCAGCGAACAAGGCCAGAGCGATCTTGCTGTTAAGCATGTTTGCAGAAGCTCACAGGATATGAAAAGACCTTAGATGGATGCCGATGATGGGTTTCGTAGGTTTGAGAGGATGGTGATGTGGAACTCGACGGCGGCTGATGAGTGGTAAACAGTTATGGGTAGACTCAGAGTGAATCTGTTGACCTTTATACTAAAATCAAGCCGCACAATGTCTACTTAGACCTCGAATGTACTCCAATGCCGACTTGCCGAGTGTTGAAATCTGTGAAGCATCTTCAATTATCCACCAGTGTTAGCTGGCGCGATAGCCTCGTTGTTCACGCATTATGATTTGGCTGGTCGGGATGGCACAGTGGTTACAAGCGATTGGATATGCATCAGCGATGGTCAGGAGGTTCGATGAAAAGTCCCCAAGTCCGCATTGACAGCCTTCTACAGATGATGTGCCACCCCTGATGGATGAGAGAAACAAGGTTCGGCCGTCTCGGCACCAACCTAGGCTTTCCCGAGCCATCTGTTGTTCAGCCCAAGTCGGCGATCTGCCGCTGACAATCGAGCGGTTATAATATGCCGCCAATCAAAGTCTCGAGGTAGATGCGATGGATCTCGTGGGGTAGTTGCGTAATCCTTGTCTTATGCAGAACACGCGCATGAGGCTGCTTCCGCGCTCCATTCAGTAATGATGTGAACACCCTCGGCAGCGATGCCGCTTGTATTGACGACCTTCCAGTTGTGGGAGCACAGCAGCAAGCCAAGCCCGAAATGGACATGAGGGGTGGTGGAATTGCGGTCATGTTTCGAGGGAATCATTTCTCCATCAAAAGCCTCTTCGGAACATGGTATATTGTCTTGCAGTCCTATGACGACGCAGGCGTCGCCTCGGTAGGAGCAGCCGGCGCTTCAGCGGCACCGGCATCCTTGGCACCCTTTTCTTGGGCCTTGGCCGCCTTCTTCGCATCAATTTGCCTCTGTTTCTCCAGCTTCTTGAGCTGGTTCTTTGTCAGCTTTCCATCTCCCTCACCCTCGGCCTTGCCTTCGCCATCTGCTTTAGGCCTGACCGCCAGGTCAGCGAGGCCCTCTGAGCCGCGCCAGACCAAGGGACGACGAGCCATGAACTGCGCGACAGTCTCATCGGTCACCTTCGCCCTCCTCTCCTGGAAGCCCGTGCAGAATTTGGACAACTCCTCGGCACACCTGGCTACTGTCAGTGGTGCAAAATCCTTCGAGGGGCGGGCAACCCTTACCTCTTCTTGATTTCGCCGGTCATCATCTTGCCCGACCTGTAGTCCTTCTCAATTTGAGCCAGCTCCTCGTCATCCTAGGACCTGTCAGTGAGTGCGAAGAGCGTAGGAGAGTGGACCCGTACCTCAAGGAAGAATCGAAGGTATTGATAGCTGACATCGACATCGGGGTTGGCTCCCAGCGCACGTTGCTCTTCCGCCGTCTCGCGTCCGCCGCTGTAGGCGTACTTGTTCATCTTGGACAGGATCTGCTTGGGTGTGTCGAACATGAAAATGGCAGAGGATGCGACAGATGCCGACATCTTAGAGCCAGGTCCCTGCAGGGCGTCGAGGAACCGAGAATGGATAAGCGAGGGCTTCGCGTACTTCAGGCCTTGGCTGATGTCTCTGGTCAAGCGGAAGTAGGGGTCTTTTGAGTATTAGTATGAGGTCTACGATGTGGCTGCTTGAGTCGCGAAGCCCATCAACAGTCGAAGTACAGGTCAAAGAACAGGCCAATATGGTTGAGGAGTGACGCTAACATGGCGACGGGAATCATTTAAAAGAACTCACCTTGGTCAATAGCACAGGGAATGAGGCAACTGGATTGCGTTAGTAGCTGTATTGTATCAGACAGGACATCATGTTGGTAAGAGTTCATACGGAATCTGGCTGGAGCGGGCTTCATCCGTGCCGAAGATGTGAGGAAATGACGGGGCGAAGGAGGCTGATGCCTGAATGGCAGCAAAGTGCACCTGCATACCGTTAGTGAAAGTCGGCAGCAGAACCTGGGTTTTCTTACTTTGCCGATAGAGGAGCTGCCATCAAAGCCAAAGGCCGCATTGGCAGTGTTGACAGTGATCCTTTTGGACACCTTGGAGATGGTCTCGTAGAACTTGCCGCCAACGTAATCATAGTCGTTGAAGAGGAATGTCCTGAACACAGGTCAGTATGACTTCAATGGTCTACCCACTTGTATAGCACGAACCTATCAGGGTTGAAGCCAATGGCCAAGATATCCTTGGCGTTGGACTTGGTGTATCCCTTCACTTCCTCGACGCTTTTGCTGGTTAGCCCAATTCGGCGGCAACAAGTGTGCAGCTAGCAACCTACGTTCGCTTCTCGGAGAAGAGGAACTTCTCATCTATCAAAGCGTGTTAGTCCATAAACGCAGCTACATCCGTCTATGAGTTGGCGTAGCGCAAGCTGCGAAACGTACCATCCGTCATCATGATCTGCAAGATGTCAGTCGTGCAATGGGAATCGCATGTCCAGTCTTAATATTACCACAAGCGGCGCATCCAATACATCCGACAACCACTTGGTAAGCGTGAAGGGACTGATACGTTAGTCGTCACCTTTCGACTTGCCTACAAGTCTACACGAAACTCACATGACGTGTCCAATGTGCATCGAGTCAGAAGAGGGACCTCGGCCTATACACAAACTGCATCAGCACATGATTCTACTTCGTACTGATCACCGATGCCCTATTATTTTGGCGTACCTGTGTAGATGAAGAATGGAAGCTTCTTCTCGTATCGGTCGAGGATCAGGTCGAGGTCGCGGTGGGAGAAAACAACGCCTCGTCGGAGGAGGTGGTGCGGCTTAACGCCGACAACACGTTCGAAACGCTCGAGCATGGCCTCGTCAATGAGCTTGGTGCCAAACTCGTCCACAAGTTTCTGTAGTACACGTCAGTCGTCTCGACTGGATCGTGTAGGGCGGCGAAAGTTGTACCCTGTAATCAATGGCCTGAATCTTGCCATCTTCGCCGACCTGAATAGATCAGCCCTCGTTCACCACTCTGTCGAGCCAGCAGCCTGGGTGCATGGCCGATTGCCCGCTCCATGGCCTGGCACAGAAACACTCACAGCACCAG